ATGAAGATATTTTGTAAATTTCCTACTGTAAATATATCAAAACTTCATTTTTGATTAGTAATATGCATTGCTAAGAACTTCATTTGGATAACTTTAAAGGCGATTTTCTCAATATTTAGATTTTTTTGCACCCTCAGATTCCAGATTTTCAGGTATCTCGGTCAAATATTGTCCTATCGTAACAAACCATACATCAATGGAAAGCTTATTTATTCAGCTTTCAGCTGATGTATAAATCTCAATTTTCAAAAAAAATTGACCCTTATGACTGGTTTTGTGGTCCAGGGTCACATATATATATATCTCTCTCAAGGCTAAAAAGATAAATATAAGATAAACATATATTAGGATGCACATATATTGATGCACCTGCTCTACAATAGCTTAAAAAGTTGATATTTTAGGCTACTGTAGAAAAATGCAATTAAAATCAAGTTAAATATTTCTGAAATGTTTTTTTTTTTTCTTAAAACAAGTACAAATAATTAGTCCTTTTCATGCATAGTATGCACCAATAGATAAAAAATAAAAAAAAATCACATTAAAATCAGTTTTGAAAAATCATTTCAGATATTTGATAAATTCCCCATCCCACTAGTTCAAGTGCTCACATAAACGCTCCACATCTCACATAAATCTGATCGTTTTTCTCCCCATTTCATGAGGAGACGATTAGATACTAAAACACTGTAATGAAATCTCTTTCTGAGGGTTTGCCAGTGGTAAATGATAGCAATTACTGTATAAAAAAAACACAGGCAAAAGATAATATCATAATCACATTATACAGTTAGGATCCCTTTTCTTCCAAAACACAGCCATGCTCCGGTTCAATAGTAGCAATTCAGTTTTATTTGTTGTACCTTCGCAGAAAGTTTATATCTTTGCTGATTACAGAAGGGCTGAATAGTAAGCGCGCATGGTATATAGAAAACACAATTCAACTTAATAATAATAAAGTATTTAGTATTTATTTACATTTGGGCTGAGAACAGAATCATTTAATTCAAGCTACTATACTGGTTTTGGACACACAGATGGCTTTTCTGTCATTCAGTAGTAGACATTTGGATTCCTTTACGAAATACTTCACGTTCACTGATAGACAGATGCATTCTGGGCTCAAAAACAGACACATTCGAGTGCTGTGAAAATGCTGTGTGACCATCGCTCGTCTTGTGAACACGATACATCAGGATTAAGGTGTGTGTTGTGGTAGCGATGACCTTGTTTGTCAGCTTCAACGGGTTAAACATGGATAGTTAGGGTGTAAGCGTCGCAGGTGCACGTACATCGCACCGCATGAAATCAAAGTGCATCAGCTGGTAACTTCAACGCGAGCCACCGGCCGCTGAGAATACTATGAGCGAATCTGCCGACGAGCAGCGTTCTTCCCGCTCAGCGTCAGCCAAACGGCTTCAAGCCTGTAACCTACGCTTCTTAGGCACGGATTAAAAAAAACAAGGCACCTCTAGCGTCGAAGCATCAACACTGTCCCGAAAAAAGAAAGCAGTACGTTTACACACAGCAGCATTCGGCTCTCTGCTCTCGTACTCTTTGAGCTGGAACTAAAACAACAAAATATTCCCTTATTTTAGACATCAGAAGGTCTATGTACAATACAGTTCGAATGCATTAACATTCAGAATGAAAATGTGCTTTTTACATTCAGAGGGAGACGTCTCCACTTCAGTTGTGTGGTGTACGATTTGCGCTACTCTTGTGAGAAATAAAAGGCATTTTTTTCAATAATAACAATACGGTAAGAGCTAACACAATAACAATCATAATTATAATAATAATTAAAATAAAATAAAAACTTTTTGTTTCACTAGCTATTGCCTCCTGAGATGATGGGCTCCTGCTTTGAATTCTGGGAAAGGGCTGCTGGAATGTTTTGGTGAAAGGTAAACAGCATCTGGGAACGAGGGCGAGTGTGTGCTTGAATAAGAGCGCTGCGTTTGATTGAACAGGTGCAAACATTCACGGAAGAGGGCAGGTGATTCGGGAGGAAAAGGAAAACCTGAATGGCAGCAGGAGGTGGGAGTTTTGAATGCTCTCCCTCTGCTGTGGTAATGAGATGCTATCAGGTGACGCTCAGCTGGGCGAAGCCAATCAACTTCACCTCATCTGGGATCTCTGTGCTGTCACAACCAGACGCCTGGAGACACAAACACAAAGAAACAAATGCATGTTAATGCAGCTGAAACAAATCACAGCCTGGGTGACTGCTGAAGCATTATTTAAAGGAATGTTCCGGGTTAAACGTGTTAAGCTTTTTTTTTTTTTAGCACTGGTGGCATAATGTAGGTTACTACAGACAATAATTTGATGCTTAGCAAAAATAAAGCAAGTACAAATTAAAACTAAATAATAATAGAATATGTGGCATAATTTAAATTACAACAGGCAATAATTTGACTTTTTGAAAAATAAATTAAATACGGTATTAATAAAAATAAAATGAAATAAAAAACTGTGAGCTTTTAAACCTTCCAGAATGTGGGTACGCATTCACTTACATTTCAAGTGCATACTATAAATAAAATAACGAATGAATGAATGGTACATGGTAATCAACATTATGTCAATAGAGTTTAACTTGCATTGAATCTGGATAATTCTACTTACATTTTTGTGCATACTAAAATAAAATAAAATTATAATCAAATAATACAAAAAAAATAAATGTAATGAATAATGAATGAATGAATGAACAAACCAACTCAAGGTACTTGGTAATCAACATAATGCCACAAATTCTTTCAATAGTGTTTAACTTGCACTGAACCTGATCATTCCTCTATTCCCTATACTTCACATTTTGACTTCATTTCCAAAAACGAATATCTAAAAGACTTCAAAAAGGGAGGTTAAGGGATGGAAGGCAGAAGAAAACATGAGAAAGCAATGAAATGGTTGTGTCTTTGACAAGTGTCTAATGACGGAGCGGCGCTGGACAAAGAGCAGATCATGTTATCGCAGATAACACAAGGTAACACCAGCCCGAGTGTCTGGAGGAAACCGATCGCATGTCTGTTTTCTCTGGAGGAGACACAGAAACTATCAGCTGCTCAGGGTCAGACGACTGATCTTAGACAGAGGTGTGTGTGTGTGTGTGATACAGGGTCTTGTATGTGTATTTATGTGTTGGTCAGTGTCTACTCTCTCTGAAAAACACTGCAGTGAAATACGGGCTTGAGTTCACGCTCCTGCTAAATAAGAGGGACTGTGACCCGTAGAAAGGTCCGACCATAAAACTCCTGGCTGACGTAACTCACATTTCTCCTGGGTGAAGCATTATGAATTACTCGCAGAGGAAGGAAGGACTACTTCTATCAATCTGTGTCTGTGTGTGTGTGTGTGTTTGAGCACTTACATGTGCAGAAAACACTCTGATGGACACATATTGTAGACACTGGTAAAATAAAAGTGATATGTGGAAATATTTATAAGCTTCATATGCAGAGTCAACTAAAAGACAGCAGAAATGTGTGTGTGTGTGTGTGTGTGTGTGTGT